CCAAAATATGAAGTCATCTCCAGTCGCAGCCTGACTGGAGAAGACCTTTGGAATTCATGTCACCTCCAAACAGCTACGAAACTTCTAGTATGGAGTCATCCATGAGTAACTAAGCTCGGAATACGCAACGCGATTCCCCTCGACAACAGTCAACGCCCATCGCTACTTTGTGCTCAGATCGCAGCGCGGACCACGTCCAGGGGCTACTTTCCTTCCTTGAGAGTTTATGCGCGGAGTAAGGTAGCTACCTGGAGACCAGTACTCTCGATCTGGAAGACCTCCAACATCGAGCAGCTCCGACAACGTCGCTACGGTCTAGGACATCATCTTCACCACAGTCGCCAAGGCGCGGGTTGATGGTATGGACCGGACGTACCTGGAATGGAAAGACCAATATTTTCTTCGTGGACCCCGGACTGAAGGTGAGCGCTGGCGGTTACATCGAGCAACTCGTGAAGAATATCCTCCTCACATGTCGTCGCCCGTACCTTCTTGGAAACTTTGTACTGCTACAGCATTGGGTGCCACCACATGGAATCGAAGGGCGTTGGAGAAACTCTCGCCTACTTGGAATGGAAGGGGCTGAGTACCTAAAGAAGATGGAATATCCAAGTAGGTCACCTGACCTGAATCCCCTCAATTACCCGGTTCGGGCGGAGTTCAATAGGGTGGTCTACGGTGGCGGAGAAATCGACTATCTCGCTGATCTCAGGCACCACATCGCGGTCGCGTGCCAGAATCTCTCGATGGCGCTCGTCCAGAAGGCTGTGGCGGAGTGTCATGATATGCTCTTTAATATGGTGGTAAAAATGTCCGATCAGAATTTAATAAAGTGTAACTTATAGCGCCTCGAAAGTCAATGAAGAAAAATGACTTTTTTTGTCTCCCCTGTAGAGTGCGTGCAATACATGCGGTCTTCCGTAGTGGTTAGTCGCACAATACCAACGGAACGGGGGAAGCCGTCCACACATGCTTCCTAAAACGTGTAGAAGAGATGCTTTTTCGCAGGTTTAAGCCATTTCTCCCCACTATGTAGCAACCTTGCCATTTCAGATCGAGTACCAAATTATAGTACCCTATGCTTTGAAGCCAACCATTATTTCCATACTGGTTGACTCCCGAACGGAATCTCCAGCAACTGAGAAACTGAAAGGAGGCTGAGTAACAGAAGTTTCGAGGAAACAACAATTAGGAGCTTCATGTAGAGAAAGGATTTCATGGGACTTTGAAGACAGTTTCAATTACTTCGATCTTGAAAACAATAAAGGTACAAGAACCAAGTCCAATCGGTTTCAACTAGGATTTGCTTCCCGGTGAAATGAAGAAAAGGAAATACGTAAGTCATGAAGCTGGATTTCGGGATGTTGCAGAGTAGAACAATCGGAGGTTAAAGGCAGTTGGCACGATAAATCGCTATACAGGTGTAGGATTTGTACAACTGGCTTAACAGAATTCCGTGACCTCGGACAGGCGCTGCGTGAAGCCTTTTCCAAGGAGGGTACCTCTATAACGCCCTATTGAGCAACAACTTTACGTCCCAAACGCCTTCCTTGCCCGCCCGCCCACAAACGGACGACCGTTTCTGACGCTCGTATTCATTCATTTGCTGAGCAAATTATGAAGCAAAGGGATTGGTATGAAGCGGCCGTGATGCTGCATGCATATATGGGTACACATATGCAGCCGTATCTTCGGTAGCGGTGATTGGCAAGATGCGTACGGGAAACTCGTCCGAAATCGATTTACAAGTCACTGAGAACGGAGGCTTTTTCTTCGCCGGATTTTGACCGTTTCACTCCGTTCTTTCGCCATTTCCCCACTATACAGCGCCCTACTAGCATTTTAGGCTAAGTAGGAAACCATCGTGCCAACTGCCTTCAAGAGAAAAGTACTGTTCTGTCCAACTTTGAAGTACTCCACCGAACTTTCTCAACATCAAGCCGTAACTTCTGACTGTTTGCTTCGAATTCTTATTATTCAATTCCTCATCAATTCTTCGACCATACAAACCTTGGTAATTCTTGTTCGAAAATAACGATTGTCAGCAACTTACAGGATCTCATTTAGTATGTGCACGAGCAGCGATCACGACGCTGCTCGAGTTTACCTGACAGACGTGAGGATACTACTCAATTCTTCTAATGCAATCAAGGCGTTGTCACTGAATTCTCCAAGTTCTCGTACGCCTGCACCATTACTCCAGATTCATCAGCAGTAGAAGGGAACTTCCAAGTTCCCAAAGGATGACCTTTCATTCCCATCGAAGACATCCCACCCCCCTGTTGTATATTGTGGGTACTGGGATTCCATAGTCCATATGAGAGCCAGAAAACTGAGGTTCATTTTCGCTGCGCGCTTCTACGAATAAAAAAAACGTAAAAAATAGGTCGATGGTTCGGATCCCACCGAGGACAAAATTTTGCTTTTCTACAATTTTTCATTTTTTGGATCCATGTTTGTCTAAATAATTGGTCCTAACAAAAACATTCACGATAAACTGAACAATCCTATTTTTATGGCAAAACTGCTTTTTCTTTCGAATTCGTTAGTATTCACAGACTCAGCTCTTCGGCGCTATGCTGGTGCCAGATGGCACTAGCGCCAAAAATAAATGCAGAATCGTGATCAGGACTATCGATTACTCCTAGGAGCAAGTTCTGAGCAGAAAAAAAGACTGACAGTTTGGTCGGCAGTGTGAGCGGAGTCTCCTCATCGTAACATCGATGTCGTATCAATGTCGCTACGGATGCCCCGGACAACCAAATAAGCAAACCCAAGAAGGTCAAAACAAGTTGTTTCGACCGAAAATTCGTTTGTAGGGGTAATCAGTGACCCTGATCACAATATAACACCTATTCGTGGCGTCCACGCAATTTCGCGCCAGAATAGCGCTGAATGTTCCCTATACGGGCGTGAATAAGGCTGCGTTTATACTTTGCGGCAGCGTAGCGTAGCGCTTCCAGCGTTTCACGAGCGTTTCGCTAGCGTTTGCCAGCGGCGGGGCTAGAGAGTATAGAAGAGTAGGAGAGTATTTTTGTTTATACTCTCTAGCCCCTCTAGATCGATAGCTATGCTTCCCGTGCCCTCGCTACGCTAGCGTGCGCTGGCGTACGCTGGTGACGCTGGGAACGCTAGATCGATATCTATCCTTTCCCCGACACTGCCGCTGGCGTACGCTGGAAGCGCTACGCTACGCTGCCGCAAAGTATAAACGCAGCCAATGAATTCAGTGGAAAGAAGATGTGGCCCCAAATTGTCTATAATTGACACCACACCAGAAGTTACTAAATTCGCAATCAGATCCACTGTCTAGCCTATGAAGATCAACGTTCAGCAACAATCTTGTTCAATGGTGCGTGAAAATCGAAATAGTTGAATAGCACTGACTCATGGGTATAGCTACTCAGAATGTGCCCATAAATGGCAAATATCCGAGTTATATTCATGCGCAGACACTAATGGAAGCGAGAACAGCGAAACCTAAAAAATGCAAAAGCACAACAAAGGGGAGTCGAACCATCAACCCAACCCTCACTATCCGACTGCGAATACTCCACCCTGTCCGCCATCCGATCGTTGTCGCTGCGTACAGCTCTAATCGTTGAAGAAACCATTGCAAGGAGCCACCCTTGAGCACGTGACCCAAGTTGGAAGCTCATTGCGACGATTTTTCGCTTTGATTCAAATAGTCCCTTTATAAGGACCCCCCACTCAGCAACTGGTCAAAGGCCTTCACCGCGTAAAGGCCCATAACAAAGCAGTTCCCAAAGATTTCTTTCCACTCGTTTTTTACCTTTCCTGGAAGCGCGCAGCGAAAATGAAGCACACTTTTCAGGTCCTTGCATGAGCCCCTACAATATGCAAAAAACCGTTTTCGAAAAGCGCACCACGCCCTGAACGACCTGCCTTGTAAGTGAGGCACACGGCAGCATTTCTCGACTTCTCCGGACCTGTTCGCTTCAGGAAGGCGGTATCTTGCCGCTGGCTCAATCGTTTCTTCGCGCCATTCAATGATAATACCATCCCGCAAGGAGAAAGGATAACGAAGAACACGGTGTAAGGACCGAACCCACGGCAGAAAATAGCTTTCGGGTTTTGTGGACGAATCAAATAGGGGGCATCACAATGGCCATGAGGGCCACAGCATCCTCGATACTTACGAAGTCGCAGAAGCGGGACAATACTAGAGACTGCGTATCAGACCACGTATACAAGGAAGGGCACCAGTTTCCATATATATCGACTGAGATCCAGGGGAATCGTTGTCTGAATATGTGTGGAACATTAATAAGCCCTCGTTACAAGACGATCAGATACTAGCAAAGTGCTTTCTCAGGTAGTGAGCTCGGCATAGAGTGACTCTTCCACGCCGAATCACTTTTGTCCTGGTGCGAATTCTACACAAATAGTGTATTACATCTTTAAATATTTATTATTATTACATATTTATAGAATTTGAAACACCTAAAAGGCTCAGCAAAGTATAACAGCCTGATATTATTGACGAGCAAGTAGACTGGTAAAAGTAGCACGAAAGAAGCGCTGAACAAATCACTATCAGCACTAACCTAAAATGCTAATCGAGGACCCTAAAGGGCAGCAAATTCCACCATCAAACAATACCTCAATAACCCAGAACTTTCACAGCGATACTTTTGTTCCCGTAATACTATACTGAAGGCTTTTCGACGAGAGATAGCAACGAGCTAACACACAGCATATAAATTAATTTTGTTTTAAAAGTTTTACATCTAGGTAATTATAGAACCTGCTCAAGACGACATCACTAGCACAAAACATAACCTAATGCAAATCGCACAAATCTACTCAAGTGACTGCAACCCCCTTTTTGAATAGACTCAAAGGTTTCTTAACGATCCCCCTTAACTTGAACTTATGAAGCGACTTGTACTAAGAAATGGCGATGAAAGCACAGGAAGCTAGGATCTCTTATGTAATAAAACTATTAAGTAGATAATTTGTATTTTATACATCATAAGCTATCGTCGCCTGTTCGTAAGTGGCTTGGTGCGATGTATGGGTGGTTGAAGAAATCCATTCGGGTAGAGTAAGTGATACGTGACATACCACCAGAATATTGCCACTAATGCACCGGCAACCTGAAAACCACAAACATTCGAATGATGGAATACAAATCCTTGGAAAAATCATAAATTTTTAAAAAGAATGCTGAGCTGAGCTGTGAGCAAAAGCCCTGACTCTAAGCAGGACTTGAGCCCGCGCATGGTACGACCCCCCCCCCACCCCCGGAAGAAGGTGTCAGTACGACCCCTCACCTATGTGAGAGTCTCGGTACGACCCCCTTTTCCAACACCTACATCACTTTCCCACATTTTCCCGTTTTTCACCCAGAAATTTTCCGTCGAGCAGGGAGGGGGTTAATAGTACGAAACTGGACAAGTCACGCGAAAAGTCAACAACCGGAAAAAATTTTTTCCCAACGCCCAAATTTCTCTCAAAGCCACATACGATCCCCTCTCACCAGCGGGAAAGTACTCCCCCTTATGTGTTCACAGAACGATTCTGTACTGTGAACTGTGAACGACACTGTGAAGACATACTATACGCCCATCCCCATGGATCTTAATCCTTGCCATGTGTGAGGTGAATGAGTGCGCTGCCGCAGTAGCATGCCTTTTCTTCTGCGCTCAAAAATGTATGGGAAGCGATGGTGAATGGAAGTGATACCCCAACTCTGATTCCATACACCGGCTTGCGCTGTCACGCGGCCAACCACGTACCTAATCGTAGCCGAACGCGCTACTTGTTTGCGCTCTGTCACTTCTGGTTGTTCCCTACCGCCGAATATGTATTTCGCTGCGAGGCCCTGGTAACTACACAAGTTCTGACCTTCAAGATAACGCGGGGGAGTATGGAGCCGGCATCGAGTATCGCTACTCCGTTCCTGTACACTTTTGAGCGGAGAAAACGGCATGCTATTGCAGCTGCAGAACCCATTCACCTCGCACAGGGAACGACCGTTCTTAGAGTGTAGCCTTAGAAGCGCGAAGTGAGGTGTTATTCAGCAATTATCATAATAAAACAAGTTCTGGATAAGAAAGCGTCCACTTATTAGGTTGGCGGGAAAGTTCTGTAGTATGTTTTGAACTCATACTTGCCTATTACCTGAAGCGAAGTGAGGTGATACCAGTTATGAACCGACGGATAGTCATTCTACGAGTACCACTCGCTTGAGTTCCCGCTTCTTCTTCTTCTGCAATATGGACAAGGATGGTTATCCGCTACCATCGGCACCGACGCCCTCCAAGCGCTTCCTCAAACTCTTCCTTTCACCCTGTCACCACACTGACGGCAGCATGACCGTTGCTTATGCCAAAATAATGGAGCTGCATAAAGACTATGCCCTTAATTTCTGGAGAACTAAGCTTGAGAGAGCTGCAGGTCGTGAAACCGGTGGATTGAGGATGCTTCCTTGGTCAATCCCTCACAACAAAAAGCACCGACGGGATCTGAAGCGAACCGTCGATTAGAGGGGAAAATCTGTTCATCTGCGAGTCTGCCCTCAGCATGACAGTGCATCTCACCCCGTCCAAAAGAAGTCGAGCCAATGCTCATACAATAGAGATGGATGACTTCTCTTTGCACCGATGTAGCCCAGACGTTAATCCTTCTCTCAGCAGATTATCTTTCGTACTTGCAATGAGGGTCGAAAACTGGCAAGAAACTCGCGATAATAATGCTATATAATTTTGACTTCGTACACCTTTCAATGAAAAAACCTAATTTGAAAGTAATATGACAAGAGCTCCCTTTAATTATAACCTATTAGATAGCAAAGAAAAGCAACGATGAAGGTAAGCACTCACTTTATCAATCATAAAAAAAAAAAAACATGGTAGTAAAGAATAGAGATCGTAAGCTGTTTGATCTGAAATGACTAGATTTCAGTTACCCATACTCCAAAGAAAAGAACCTCTTCCACTATGTGATCAAGGACCGTCTATTATAGGATTCACTACATTCGGCACTGGCAGAATATTTCTTAAATTAATCGAAGAATATCGAGTTACTTATCACGTTATTGGAGGTTGCAGAGCTCCCACAAATTCGAAAAAGATAGTATGTTCAGCTCAACAATCATGTTCTAAACAGTTGACTCTTCTCAATACGTTTTCCATCTAATTACATAATAATCGTTTCTAGTCCAGGACCATTCAGCTTTTCACATCTACGGAGGCCTTTAATCAGTAACGGATTCCTCTGAGAGGTCTCGTAAGCAGCTCATCAGCACAAAATGCATTAAAAATCATTACGATTTCTGAAAGAAAATAGGATCGGATGTATGGCATCATTCCCACCAGCGATGGGAAGTAAGTTCATTCAATGAGAGGTTATGTCTCCAACACTCGATGGTTATAGTTCCACCCGAAAGAAATTTTGATGTCTTCAGCTACGGCAAATTCTTTCATTTAATGTTCGTTTCTCATTTGAAGCACAGAAGTCTACTAAAGGTGAAACCACCTTTCCTTGTTCAGCCACACTGAGGTACAAATCAAGAAAAAGGACACGCTCAAATGAGCTATAATCGGTCAACTATAAACATCATTTTCACAGTTTCCTAATAAGGCCTTCTGCACACCTGGGGTGAATAAGGCTAAAACATTTGCCACAGCATAAAATATCGAAAGGCTGCAAAACTAATCTGCAAGAACACATTTTTTGACACTCAAAAATTATACTACGATTGAGTTGCAAGGCACTAAACCTCATTCTTCACAGTCCCTCATTGCTGTAACCTCGAACGCGTTTACCCTGTTATAGTTGCAAAAGATGTTCTGCTGGTATTTGGGTGGAACAATTTATTTAATACTATTCGGCAAAACGATTCGACGTGATCGTCTTCTTCAGAGACCCAAACCTGTTTTGAGTTTAGGAAAGGAACAGTACCCCATAAGGCGTCATCGGAACCGCTAGAGGACTGGGCGCTTGATGGGATAGTGTTCATTTCCTGAACTCGAAACATGTCTAGTCTTTTGGTGGAAACGTCGAAACCGAAAGTATTAAATAAACTGTTCCACCAAAAAACCTGAATGGCAGAACATCTTGTGCATCACAAGTAAACCTCCTCTTATTTTGTCGAAACCCCCTCCAAAGCTCTGTAAGCGCGAACACCCCAAGCACCCGATTATTGCTTACATACTTATACAAAAAAAGTAGTCTTCCGATAACAATTTGTAAGAACGTATTTCTGACAGAAACTTCTCTAGTTTCGCCAAGTTCAAAAAAAGCAACATTGTCAAGCTGCATGACGACGACAACCACTTACCCAAATAATATTTAGCAGGAGCATAGCAACAACGAAGTACTGTGCTAGCCTTACTCGTCTTTCTTGCTTTTCTCTCATAACAATTCCACAGTCATCATCGCGGTGAACAACTTGCTGCCATTCTCGGAAAGCATGGGCCTTAAGATTTATAAAACGAATAGCAGAATTCCAGACAAATACAGTAAATCAAAAAAGAAGAGTATGAAAAGTATCAAAAAAGAAGAGTAGTGAGATAATGAAGGTCTAAAAAACTAGTGAAATGATAAATTAGACCCTGGGAAGTGCTAAAGGGCTCAAGATTAAGGAGGGAATAATTTGAACAAGCCATACTCGCGCTTTTTGATAGCTTTTTTCGGACTTTGTTGAACTACACAAGAAACTTTGCTTACCCCAGATCAAGAAAGGACAGAGAAGCTAGCTAGCTGAGAAATTGTAACTGCAAATTAGCGCCCTTTGAATGGACAGATGAATTTTCCTTCTATCTCGGATATTCTACTATCCTTTGGCAGTGCTCTGGAAATGGATTCAACTTAGCAGCTAGCCTGCAGCGTCAGTCAGTCATGAGATAGAAGAAATTTTTCAAGGTTTCATGAATGCTTAGCAGGGAAGTCCGCCAACTTACCATGGAACTTTGAATGGAGACCTGGGTAGATCGATAGAGTCTATAAGGTTATTTACAAATATAGATAGCAAAACTGCAACCTGCATTTCACAAGCAACTTTTGAGCAGGTAAAATTTTAGTAGGTGCAGTAGGGTGGAGGCTTGTGAAGGATAATCAAGGGAATCGACATGACGACCCTCCCTCCATCCTACTGCACCATTACAAACTTCACCTGCTCATAATTTGCTTGCGAAATGCAGGTTGCAGTTCTGCTATCTATATTTGTAAATAACCTTAACTCTATTCTATCCAAGTCTCCGTTCAAGAGGTCCCCATGGTAAGTTGGTGGAGACTTCCCTGGTTAGAGGGGAAGACGGTTAGTCTCACAAACCCTTTGAACACCCAGATGGAAAAAACAGATTAATGAGAGAGAGAGAGAGAGAGAGAGAGAGAGAGAGGAAATGTCATATCTGAGCTCGATGTTTTTTTTTTCAGGTGAACGCTTGATAATTCTACTAACCTCTTCTGCCATCACCAACATGCTGTATATCAACAGAAAGCAGTGTCCAGAAATGTCAAAACCTGGAATCCAAACACCGCCTTTTTCCTTGCACATCGTCCGAGAGTAACGAATACTGAGGTCACAGCGAGAGGTCCATTGCATCAATCGATGGAATCTGCAAGTCAGTAACTCATAGGGACAAAATGTTAAGACGCTGAGACTCGTATGGGACCCAGTCGCTAGTCGATGTAGCCAAGTTATCAAAACTTTACATACGACTTAAGCGATCACAACTGAACATCCTAACGAAAGGAAAACTCTTAACCACAGCGCTTATAGCACTGTCAAACGGTTGCGCCCATGTGAAAATTTATTGACTTGACCACAAGTACCAACCAGCACCCAAAATTTAAACAATGCAGGAGAAGACCAAATACTTACTGCCATATGCTTGCATACCAGCAAAATGTCCCAACTGCCAGTCGTAAAACATCGATTATGGATTTATCTTTGTCTCTAAACGAAAAAAAATTGAGAACACTCGAAAAAAACAACAGGAGCAGCACCATGTAACGTGAAGATACTCAGAAATGGTGTATTTGTTGCTCGTTAGAACTGGTGCCCTTCAAAGATTCCATGGATGACCATCTTAGGCAAGGGGCCCAAGCAAAACTTTGCCAACAAGGACTCGAAGTGGCCAAAATTCACTACAGAAAAGAGGGACTACATTCTCCGACCTTACGCTGAATTGTTCACGTGGTTAAGAGGGACCCAGTCCCGATTTGACCGCGAAAACGTCCAATGTTCGCTTTTCGCTTGGATCTCTTGTCTCGGATATTGAATTGTCACAAATAGATTAATAGGGCGTTTCTAATCACTGGGTGACTTACAAACAGGGCACGTTGTGTCGATGGAGAAAATTTCGCCAAACAAGACGCTCTTCTCTAATGCGAACCCCTTCCACCTTCCTGAATTCCCTCGACTGCCCTATGTTCAGTTTTTGAAAGCTAATTCGCTTTTCTACGAAAAAAAAACACAAACGAGGGAAGTAGTGGGGAAAAAGTAAAGCGTAAATGGGACGAGGAAAAGCCGAAAAAGTCAACAAGCGCAACCGAAAACTCACATGTTCTTCCGAGTCCTTCCCTTAATGACTATATCGCGGTGCTGCAGCGTCTGCCACCCATAAATAAAAATGATCAAAATACCTGTGATGGGCTCGTGAAGAGAACCAAATAAAAGGTCCAACAATCAAGCATGTCCACATCCATCCGAGTTTAACACCGTACTGGTTGAAAACACTATACTTCTGTAAGAACATAAAAATTTGTCATGAACATGACATTAGGAAAATCCTCACCAGGAAGTCCGCCAGTTTACCATGGAACTTTGAATGGAGACCTGGGTAGATCGATAGTCTATAAGGTTATTTACAAATATAGATAGCAAAACTGCAACCTGCATTTCACAAGCAACTTATGAGCAGGTAAAGTTTGTAATGGTGCAGTAGGGTGGAGGCTTGGTGGTGAGCTGTGAAGCATAAGCGAGGAATCGCATACGTCGAATCGAGTCGTGGTGGTTCAGTGGTAAGGTTCGACGTTCGACGACTCGATCACCACCAAGCCTCCACCCTACTGCACCATTACAAACTTTACCTGCTCATAAGTTGCTTGCGAAATGCAAGTTGCAGTTTTGCTACCTATATTTGTAAATAACCTTATAGACTCCAGCGATCTACCCTGGCCTCCATTCAAGGTACCGTAGTAATTTGGCGGACTGGTCAAGCAGCTGCGCGATGACCAGGGTATGCCATATTGTACAACAACAACAAAAACGGCCCTTGAAACAATGCACATTCATTGGGCTGCTTGCTTACCTGAACAATGTAAAGTGTGTCATCAAGAGTGACAAAATGAGCCAACCATTGACAAAACCATAACGAATACTAGAAATGCGAATGGCTTTCTTTTTTGGATCGATGAATAGAAATCGTCGCGCAATCTGAAATGTCTATCCAGATCACAAGGACATGAATCATAAGGGACTAAAAGAATCTTTGTAACACCTAAAACAATATATGTGAGCACATATAAAAAGTAAATGTTGCGAATGAACTGAAAGTGTAGGAAGAGCTACAATCAACACCTGTTTTTGTACAAGCTTCGTCATTTGTCTTCTACATGTTTGAGCGGAGCTACATAGACACGCTGATGACTGTGGCAAAGAAGGGTTCCTTGGAAAACTCGCAGGAAGTTGGGAGAGCCTGGGGAATATGGTTGGCAAAATGGTGAAGAGAGATCGTACCAGATGAGCGAATTTCGAGAAGGTCGCGCTTCGCAAAATTCTCCCTCGACGGTAGGACGTGTCCTGTTACAGCCACAGGTTTGAATTCTATCACACGACTGGCCATTAACAATGTTTACCCTTTTCTTCACTGCTACTCGAAACTCAGGCTACATTTCCATCGACAACTTCCCTAGCTTAACCCATTCGTGACAATGTCCGCCACTGGTGGTGGACACCGAAATGTCCACTTCGGACCATGTCCACCATATGTGGCGGACGGGCTTTTGATGAAATTTTTAGAAACAGTTCGAGTTCTTCGAGGAACTTTCCCAGTGGTACAAGTCTTCATACCTTTGTTAATTTATGCAAATAGTGGACCAACGAGATCTTCAGATATAAGGGTCCCAGGCACGATTCAACTAGCAGCACCTGAGCCCAAAACCTCTAGAAAAATTTCTGCTGAAAAATTGCCGGTAGGGGTTACTCAGTGCCCCGATCACGAATGTGACGTCCGTTTCTGGCACCGGCAGTGTTTGACGCCATTTGGCGCCACCACTTTTTTCATCAAAACGGGGCGCCAGAATGGTGCCGCGCCAACTCACCACTACCTTTTTTCACCAAACTTCAGGAAAAGTTACATACTAGGGCTTTTTGTTGGTCTGGTCACGAATATGACGTTCACTACAGGTCCCAGCGCCAACTGGCGCCAATTTGGTGCTATCACCTCTTCCACCCAAATTGATGGGAACTTGGATACTAGGGTTATTCGCTGTCCTTATTATTGATATGACATTCATTTTTAGCAGGAACGTTAGCGTAGGGCACAAGGGTTATCAATGCGATGCTGAGGCTGAGCTTGCCTTAGGAGGAGGGAATCACTCCTCCTCCAAGCTACAGCCTTTTCAGAGCGCTACATGCCATGTAACGCTCTGCAAAGATAAAAACCAATGTCTTATTTGTGATCGGGCTCCTCCCCCCCCAATTGAGCTCGAATGCAGAACAGCTGCGACTTTAGCGAAAAAAAGGCGACGGCGAGTGCAGGTGGATCCTAGCGCCGAATAGCGCCGGTGAAAAAACTATAGGCACTGTCAACCCTTTACTGCCTCAGACATCCGGAACCAAGCCAACTTTCGACCAACTTTCTATGTGGACAGACTTGGCTTAGCAGTCGTTTCCTGAGTTGGTTTGACCTTTTGAACACGAGTACACTTCCGCTCGGCTCAAAACCTCCTTGCCACCAGGGGTTTTGAGCCACCTCAATATGTCAAATCACCTCAATATGCAAGCTTACACGGGTTTTCGAGGGAAAGACTATAGCACTAAATTAGCGCACATTGGCGCCAAATGGCACCGGAGGACAGACGAATGTCATTTTTGTGACCTGAGGAATAACCCTGCACTCGATGGTTCAGTAAAAAAGGAGATTTCGGGAGCAGAAAGTTGAACAGTGCTAAAATTTTTGGTAAGGGGTCACGAGGGACCGTGTCCACCACTGGTGGCGGACACTTGCTGAGAGCTCGCAAATGCTCCGGTCCGAACGAGCCGTTTTCGAAAAACGCGCCTGGTCGCGAATGGGTTAAGAATTGGATGAAAGATCGCTTTTGGGGGTGTTCTGACCCTCTGAACCCGAAGACACCATTCACATGGAGAGAACACGCCTAACGCAGGATAGTTTTACCGAGATTGCCATTAGTGCACATCCCAGGCATTTGTTACACTAAGAAAATATGAAACTCATAGTAAACTACTTTGGGAGTTTTGCTCAAGGCGCCTGTGGTGCGGGCGCTAGACATCACGTGGCGATTGGATGAGATATTCGGGTTCAGAGCGTTTAACTATTCCCGAGTCCGAACTTCTCGCTAACTGATAAGCAAAACTATGTGGCAAACAGACCTCCTCATGAGGCTCACATACCTGTATCGCAATTCCGAGGACGATGTTTGGTACAGTGCTCTTGATTATTGGTCTACGCTGTGTCGTGGTGGAAGAATAGTCTCTATTCATATTCTCATAAATTTCTGGAACAATATTTCTTTTCAGTAGAACTCAACAGGATGGAAGCACCACTGAATGACATAACGAAAACGAAGGCCCAGGAAAATCCCGAAGAAGACAACTGATAGCATCTAGATAGGAACTACAACTGAACAAACAAGCGCCCTGTCATCGAACCAAACTGCAGCGAAAGAAGGAAGCAAGACCGTCGTCGGACACAAACAGCCTAGTGTGATTGCAGACATTGCCTAACTACCGTCAGCTCGCCTACTTTCGCTTCATTGGTACCGGGGAGACACCTCGTGCTGAAAAACTACGTAGAGCTTGTGAGGAATGTTGCATCAATTGAGTGTAAAGCAGTAGACCTCACATTATCGTTGCAGTTTTGATAACAGCCTTGTTTTCAAAGGCACGCTCCGCGTTCAAAAATGGTGATATGTGCGGCTCAAATACTATCGATAAGCTGGTACATACTTCCATACTTGATTTTTCTCGTTTTACACCCTTATTCCGTCCATAACCAGAGGTGGTCAACATAAGCTATCATTTGCGCGCCCTAAAACAACCCTTAGGCGCAATTTCTTCACTATCAGAGCGGGTCTCGCATATCTACGTTTGGGCAAAACCACATTGTTTAATGGCTCTATGACTTCCTTCAAACGTGCCATAGCTAAGCAAGTTCTCAGTGCGTAGGTGCCATGTTTCTTCATTGCTGTAGTGTTTATTTTGTTTGTTGTTTTATGTTTAGTTTTGTTCTCACATATCGAGCGTTGTCTTAAACAGCGTACTAAATAAATAAATAAAAAATACATAACACAAGTGTGGGGGAAGTGCACTGAAAACCTGGCTGGGGTACGTATGGAATTCCACGCTAAACTGCGCTTTTACGTGCATAAGGCGAAAGAGTGGTCGGATGAGTTCTACCTAGTTGGTGCCAGGGAGAACTCGTCTGCCTCTCACAATAGGAAATGAGGAGAGTTAATAGCGGAAGAACCGCGCATCAGGTGCAGCTGAAAAGCTGGGAGTTGCCGTGGCCTGGGCGAACCGTGATACCGTCGCGAGAGGTAGGGGTAATCGTCGTCTGTCCTTGGGCTGCGAAAGGTATACATCCTCCATGCTTGCGGGCAGGACTAACATGTCCAAGGGAGCGTCTGAACGTTAAATGAAGGCGGGGTGAGCATTTATGTGAATGACAAAGAAATCTGACTGAACAATGAAGCTCAGCAACTTCCGATCTTATTCGGCCATAATATTTGAATAACCACGATACACATGAAGTGAAGGAAATTTTTCAAAATCGTGAATCTTTGGAAAGCTTAACCCGAGCTGTTCATCAGATGCGAAGCTCAGACAAAGCGCAGGGACATCACCATGACCCCCACCGGTAACGATAGACCTGTTAAGGGGAGACGTGGTTCACCGATTTAGATGGACGACCACCCTGGAATGGTGTGGACGTGGAAGAAGACAGAAGAATGAAGAAGAATGAAGAGGATAGTGATAGATGTGATCTAAGACTATATAAGGCTGAATGTGCAATAAACATTCATTCCGCCCTGTCTCCTGGTGTCGTCAACTGACGAGCAGGATGAGATTGATCCCCGCCCACTGTGGTGGTCCCCGCCCACTGTGGTGGTGATGGCGCCAGTAAGTTGTGTGGTTCTAGGCAGAGTAATGGGTGTAATAGAAAAGATTACTTCAGGCCGGGCGCACTATGGGTCGGCGTACACCCCGTTCGTGGGCGTACGCCCGGCGTGGCCGAAATCGGAGATGGCCGGGGCGAGGCCTTATGCCCCTCCCCCGAGATATGAAGCGCCTTCGCCTTCTAGCTCCGGGACGCCCTCCCGAAGGGTGGTGTTGGAACGCGATGTGGCCGAAGACCGAGGCGAGGCGAGGCCTAGTGAAGAAGCCTCCGAAGCGGGGCATTAGAATTTGGAAAAAAATCTTTTTTGTGATGTATGCAGAAATAAAGAGTTTGAAAATAGATTTTGTAATTGATGTGGGGTTCCTCGAGAGCTAGGTTGAGCAGTAGAGTGACCAGACGGTCACTACGGGGGGATGTTAAGGGGAGACGTGGTTCACCGATTTAGATGGATGACCACCCTGGAATGGTGTGGACGTGGAAGAAGACAGAAGAATGAAGAAGAATGAAGAGGATAGTGATAGATGTGATCTAAGACTATATAAGGCTGAATGTGCAATAAACATAAACATTCATTCCGCCCTGTCTCCTGGTGTCGTCAACTATACCAACGGTGAAAATGGGGGAAGGGGAGTGCTAGTAGGGAGGTTCGCATTGCAGCCACGCACACAGCGAGCTAGTTTGCGGGTTCTGTCCTGCTACGAAAGTCGAGCACATACGCCATCTCAAGAGCCTCTCTCAGAGAAGGATCACCGAAGCGATATCCAGTACCGAAGACACGAGATGAAAGGTTTGACCACCAGCCGATGATATCGCCGTACGTTGAGTCTGATTGAGGCCACTGTGGGCACCCTTGAAGCCCTCCACCAAGATGTGGTCAGGTCGAGAACCGCCAGGAATAGTACCTTACTTTTAGCGGCCAGTTTTTGCCTTTTTTGAATGATTCTTTAATTTTCTTTCAAATCCTATTCAATACTATTACCCTACTATTCCAGCGAATTTGAAGGCATGGTT